GCGCCTTCCACTGTGCTCGTGTATATCCACACGCGCAGGCATATTTTATTATTATTTTTTTTTTATCTGCTCGTGTGTTTTTACACGAGCAATTAAAAAATAATAATAATAAAAATGCCTGCTCGTGTGGATTTACACGAGCACAGTGGATGCGCTCGTGTAAATTCACACGAGCAGGCCAACGTGTGATTTTTTTCGTTTTTTTTTCGGATTCGTAATCTACATAACAAGAGGATCGTAAAAACGTAAAAATTACCTCCGATCTGTTGACGATTTGCACGGGCTTTGCGAAAGAAAATCGAAAGGTTGAGAGAGTTTTGAGTTTTTTTACTTTTTGTTTTTTGAAGAATGGTAAAAAATGTGCCTGAATGTTTAATTTTGGCCTGCACAAATCATTTCAGTTTTGTATTTTGGGATCCCGTGAAATTACAGCCACTAGGAAAAAGATACTTGAAAAGTTTAGTGGGACACGCGTCAGCATATTATGTGCTGGAGTTATGTGGACTGGTAGCTGGGCTTTTCATTCACTTTTCAGAGGCTGTGCCCACACGTGTCCCCGTTTGCCACGTGATTTTAATTTGTCTGTTTTTTTGACAGCTTGAAATGAAAAAAATGCATGGAACTAAATCATTTTTATTATCCAAAAAAAAAAAAAATAGGGCAAATAACGAACACCTAAAGTAAACTTAAATTATGAAAAAAATCTTCAAATAATTGTTTGCGTAATTACGAGCACCCCTCAAGTATGTATCGTCTTACGAAAAAATCCCTCCATTTGATAAATTTAGAGGCGTTCATTTTAAAATTTTACAGAAACTACGGTACGCCAAAATTTCATAACAGTAGTGTTTGGTTCGATAAGTAACCGAATTACCAAAATTTTATTAAAAATATTCAAAATTTAATTTTGAGTTATTTTCTATTTATTTTTAATTAGTTTTAGTTTAAATACTTATTTTTAATCGGCATGTACGAATTTTCGTTCGTTTCGATTTGATCGATTTACCGACTGGATGAACAACTCTAGGTAAATTTGACATTGTAAGAGTGAACATGTAAGACAATATATAGTTGAGGGAGGTGGTTGTAATTATGCAAACGATATGGGGTTTTTCGTAGTTATATCTTACCCAAGGGGTGGTTCGTAATTTGGGCAAGAAACTAAATACAGCATTTATGTTGAATGGGCAAAATTGACCAAAAATTCCGTTTGAGGACATTTTATCAGAAAATGAACAAATTAATATAAGTTGAGAAATTAGGAAATGCCCAAAAAACACTTCAATCACATAATACAAAACTCTTTGCAAGAAAAATGGAGTCAATGAATTAGGAAAGTGAAAGCTGAGCTGGACAAAAAGCCCCAAAGGCCAAAGCATATCTAATTTTTATAATAAAAGAAAAAAAATAATCAACAAAAGAGGCAACTTCCTGAAATCCATTAACCAATAGAAAGATTTTCCTTTAAAGCCCACAAAAACAAACTTGTGGCTGAGAATTCATTCCCCACTGCTGACGTGGTACCCCTCCCCAACTTTCTCTCTCCTCCTTTCTCCCCCCTTATATTACAACCACACCACATTCAACAAACAATTAACATTAAAAAATTCAAATTTCTAACACAGTATGAACTGAAACTCACAAAGAAGAACAAAAAGAAAAATGTCAGGAATTGTAGTAAAGGATCATTCAATTAAGCTGTTTGGAAAAACCATAGATTTGCTTCCATTTATTGACCAGATTCAGAGCTCCTCTGTTACATCAACTTCACTAGAGACAAAGGTTTGTCTTCGATCTGATCTCCTGTGTAATAATACTATGTATGTATGTATCTATCTGTGTATGTATATGTGTTGAATTGATTGGATTTGTTTTGTTTACTACAGGATTTATCGGGAGGAGAGATCACACACGAGTACGACGAATCCGAAATCAGCGACGGAACGGCGGCGCAATCTCCGACGAAAAACTCGGAAATTTCACAGACGGAAAGCAGCAGCAACACCTCGCCGGAAAAGGAAACCCTAAAAAAGCCCGACGAAATTTTGCCCTGCCCACGCTGCGAAAGCATGGACACCAAATTCTGCTACTTCAACAACTACAACGTCAACCAACCCCGCTACTTCTGCCGGAAGTGCCAGCGTTACTGGACCTGCGGCGGCACGATGAGGAACGTGCCCGTCGGCTCCGGCCGACGGAAGAACAAAAACGTCGTCGTTCCGAATTACCGCCACGTCATCGTCCAGGAGAGCGGGGCGGGCCACAACTTAAATCCAAACGGGTTCTTTATTTTCGGCCCAAGTAACGCGGATCCAAATTCGACCCGGAACGAATTCCCGGTTGCGTTTTATCCGACGGCGTCGTATTGGGGATCGGCTGTAACTAGCCCTGCGTGGAATATTCCGTTAAATCCGGAATCTTCCGTCCTCGGGAAACATCCGAGGGAAGAAAATCGAAAAACTATGATTAGACCGAAGACGTTAAGGATTGATGACCCGAACGAAGCTGCAAAGAGTTCGATTTGGTCGACGATTGGGATGAAGAGAGAGAAAATCGGTTCGTTTGCATTTAAGGCTTTTGATCCGAAGCTTAGGCATAATAATAATAATAGAAGCGTTGATAGTACGGAGACGGTGTTACAAGCTAATCCGGCGGCGTTATCTAGGTCGGTTAACTTCCAGGAGCTTGCGTGACGATGAAATGTAACGGAGGAAGGAATATTCGGAGTATATTCTTTTATATGTCTAACACTCTAGATATTTGAAGTTTTATGTGACATGAAATGAAACTGCTGTTGCAGAACGGTTTTTGTATCAGCAAATGTATATAAAAATTCGATTTTTGTGCAATTAGCCAAGGTTTTTTATTTTATTTATATATGTGCAAGTTTTGACATCGTTTGGCTGTTAATATAGAGTTGGTGAAGGATTCATATTCTTGTCCTAAAAAATAAATCTTTGAATAATGTCCTGTTGTTTTAAATGGGTGAAATATACTATGTTGTTTCAAATTGTAGATTTTTATAAATAACTATCAATTAAGCAACGCACATCCATATAAATGTTCGTTATTATGTGTAAATCATTAGTTTAAAATTGCATGGTCTATTTCATCAGGTGCAAGTTGTACAAAACCGAGAAAAATAGAATCTAATCTAAGTGATCCCAATGATGCAAATCTTTTTAATTCTTGAATTTTCTTCTCTTTTTCATCCCACAATTTTATAACACAAGAATATGTATAGTCTACATTTTTTATTAGGTAGATTTTGTAATGGATTTTTCTTTTTGTTTTCTTTTTAATCTAAAAGAAAAAATAGTGCAGGGTGAGACAAAAGAGATTAAGAGATAATATAACGTTGCTATCGGAAATTGAAGGCCACATAAATTAGCTCAAAATTGAGTTGGAATGGCCGAATGGGACCTTAGGCATGTGATCCTAAGACAAACTTTTTTTAAACTAAATGTTTTCCATTTATTTAGTGAATAGTGATGGTTCGACATCTTACCATTATTGGCATTATGTTTTAAAACCTCATATATATGACAAATTACGGTCATCCCTAATATTTCGTCTAATTCAATTTGAAGAAAAAAAATTGTTTCAATTTTCAGACCCCATTTCTAAAATTTTCCTAATATGTTTTGAAACGTAGTTTTTCACTTTGAAGAAAAGAATTGGAATATTACCCGAAAGCGTTGGTTTCCATTGGATTCATCAAATATCCACCCCGAATGCCGACATAAGATTAGCAAAAAGTAAGAGAACGTGACCTCTTTTGTGAGGAGTTTGGCCCAAATTATTTGCTCACTTTGGAAATGAGCCCAACTCTCAATCCACTTGAGGTGGTCTAGTCTTGGTGTCAGGTCAATGATTTGCTCAAGCCCGATTTATATGGAGAAGCTTCTGGACTTTCATCTTGACCGTCCATCTTGGGTACTCAATCATTTCCGTCAGTCCGTCTCATCCTTTGAATTAGTCAGATCTACTTTCTTAATTTGTTGTAAATATAGTATACTTCCGCCACTCTGTACTTTCTCTATCTTTGTATTTCCGTCCTTCCTCCTTTCTCTTTGTCTTGTTCCGGTGACTTTTAAGTCAAACAAAACCGATGATGGTTGACTTTGACTCTAAGATGGATTTTCCACCGATAATTGTTGTATGTGCCTCTATAAATGAAGTCTTTAGAACGGGAGAGAGAGATGTTAGCACACGTATATTAGTTATTTTCCTCTGATTTGGGTCTTTATTCTTCCGTAAGTGATATATATATATATATATTAGTATATATATTATCCTTAATCCCTTTTCACCTAGGTTTTAAATCTGTAATAGTTAATAGGAGATCGAGTGCTGTAATAAAAATGACTTATGTAATATTCAAGTTACAATAATATAATCACCCCATGTGGGTACGTAGCGTCAACACTCTCAGCAGATGATTCTGTTCAGCCAAAACAGTTACCACTTCAATGCAATGCAATGAAATTATTTATACTTTTTATTTCTTTCTTTTGTGTGTGTGTGTGTTTTGTATTTGAGGACCATAATCCATGCCTGATATTTGCAGGCCCATGAGAAAAGGATGTCTTTCATATATATATATATATATTACTCTCTCTCTCTCTCTCGCTCCTATTTCATGATACACAGAAAAAACCCTGATATTTCCTTTCTTGGTCATAAACAGCACATGTACCACCATGGATATACGCATAAATAAACCCACTCATTGTCACCACTTTTCCATGTTATAAGCATTTGTGTGTCGTCATAATTATCTGTACTCAGTTTTTTAGAGAGAGAAAGTGTGTGTGTGTGTGTGTGTGTGAGAGAGAGAGAGAGAGCACCTAATTAATTATTGACATTGTCACACATTTTGAAACAGTTCCATCTGAGGATAGTGAAATCGATCACCGCAAATAATTAGGTACTTAATTTGTGTTATTCCATAATTATTATTTAATTAAGCAAGAAAACACAGCGCATTAATTCATTATAATTAAGTTAATTAAAAAACTTCACATACATATAGATAATAATTTAATTGAAAAGGGTGCCGCCAACTCCAAGAAAATCTATAAATGGCGGTGCGGTTCTTTCCTCTGCAGTTCCAGCTACAATGTCTGCAGTTGAAACTTGCTGCCTGCTGGGTGAAGTATTATTATTCTTATTATTAATACAAGGTGGTGGTGGTGGTGGTGCCTGTTGATGAATTATTGCTGACGTGGCCGAAATGTAATTGTAGGAATTGCCGTGCTTGAAAACGCTCATCATCTCACTAGTACTCGGGCCTGTATTAAAAACAAAAAACAAAAAAAAATTAATTTTCTTTTTTTTTTATGTTTTGTTAATTTCAAAGAAATGATTTTGACTCTGACCTGGAAATAAACCAAGATATGTCTGTGGTGCCCATAAAGGTGTGTTGTTCGGAGCACCACCGCCGGAGTTTGGGAACGGTGGTGGTGTCTCCGATGGCTCGACGGCGGCGGCGGCCGTAATAATAGTGTTGGTGTTGGTAAGTAAAGAAGAAGTGGAGGAGGAATGGTGTCGCCTGTAGTTTCTGGCCATAAGAACATGCCAATGGTTCTTGACAGCGTTGTCGGTACGGCCGGGGAACAACCTAGCTAGCATGGCCCACTTATTGCCGTAAAGACTGTGTGCTGACATCAGCCTCTCTTCTTCTTCTTCGCTGAAAGCCCTTGTGTTTATCCTCGGATCCAGCTGGTTATACCATCTCAACCTACAGCTTTTCCCTATTGTATATATATACAATATTAAATTAATAAATGATCTCTATTCATTATAACAAAAACACACACATGACATATACAAATAGTACGTACCAGATCTTCCATTATATTGTAATTTGTGGGCAATGAGGTTCCAGTTGTGAGGGCCGTAGAGAGAAACAAGTTCCTTGAGCTTAGCGTCTTCTGCAGCTCTCCAATGCCCTCTTGAACATACCTTTGATGACGAAGACTGCCCATTTCTTTTTGCATTATTATTATTATTATTATTATATATTAACATTAATTTCTCCGAAGTGGGCTTCATCAATGGAAGCAAAGCTTTTTTGCTGTTGTGTTTCTTGAGAAGAAGAAATGGAAATGGAGGGAATGCTCATATTATTATCAGGGCCGTACACCATTCCCACCATACCATTGAAGAGGAGGAGGAGAAGAAGAAGCAGCAGCTACGTCATATATATATATATATCATATTCTTTTTGCCGTATTTAATTAATTTTGAAATTGAAATTGAAATTTGTATTTTGGTTTGGAGGTCTGACAGATTCTACTGCTGTAATACTGTTACCAGGTCATACGTCCATCACCTTTCACGACCATATTATCATCACACTAACTAACAAAACTACAAACAAACCAGATTATTATCAGATTTAATTAATTTCGGGTACACAAAATAATAATGATATATTATTGCAGTGTGCATATCATAAAAAAATAAAAAAAATTGACCAAATATTGAAGGTAAAAAAAAAATTTAAAAATATCATTAAAAAGTCATTAGAATTTCTTAAGTTGTCTGTTTATCAAAGTATGTTTACTTTACTAGTTTAATTATATATATTAAATTCTAGTCCATAACAACTAGAATATTCAATGTGAGATTAATATTTTACGAGCTAGTGCAACTGTATTGGAAAAAAAACAGAAGAGATGTTTAATTAATAGTGGAAATATTTTTCTTACATCAAATCACTTTATTTTTTTCACGGTTCAGACATTTTTTTACAGGTAAATGAAAGTTAAGATTAATAGTTGTATCAGTTTTGAGGGCTTACTATTTATTGTCTCTCTTAACAATGACAAGTAAGACACAAAACGTGTTGTCTCCAATTTCAGACACACATATATACCTCAATCTTATCAAACTATACACAAAACACCAACTTGTCAATCATAATAAATTTATTAATTAATTAAATGTAATAACTAAATATATTATTACTTAAATGTTCCCCTCCGATCCATCAATCTTTCACATCATCCTCTCTCTCAAAACTGTATATTGGAATTTAATTCTAACTTCATCCAAAAGTAATTGTCACTGCAGTAGCTAAGCTAGTTTTCCCGTAAATAATACAGTTAAAAAAAAATTGACTTTGTGTCGATAACATAAAAAGATTATATTTTATGTTACAACAAAATATGTAAAGTATTGATTATTTAATAATTAGAATAAAATTGTTTTCACGAGTCCCACTACAATTAAAGCAAAACCCAATTGCATACGTTTTCGTTTAATTGGCGCGCGGTGGATCAGAACAGTGACAGGAATTGTAACGATGCCGAATTAGAGAAGAATAGCCCCCTTTTGGAAAGAGAAGAAACGACGCCGTTTGAAGAAGAGTTGCTCTCCAACTTAAAGAAGCGTGGTTTTTAATTGACGCTTTTATCAATTCTCTGCCCAACGGAACGACGTCGTATTGCCTTGGTCATTTCAGTATAAATAGCAGATTCCGGGATTGGGAAAGGGAAGCAATTTCAGAAGCTAGTTCGTAGTTAGGTTAGTGTAGCTCGTCTTTTAGCCTAATTTTCTCATTTTTCCTATCTTTAATCTTGTAATCGAACACAATTTCTGAGCAATGGATTACTGTTATTATGAATCTAATTCGATTCATAACAAATGGTATCAGAGCATCGATGCTGGGAAGGGAAGGGCAACGATGGTTGATGGCAACCCATCAACAAATTCTGGTTTTCCTAGGTTTGATGGACAATACCCTAGGATTTGGTTGTGGAGGTGTAACAGATATTTCCTTGTGAATCCCATGAACGAGCAACAAAAGGTGTTCATGGCATCAATGCATTTAGATGGCAAAGTAAATGCCTGGTATACCGAGTACGCTGATGTCCTAGAATA